AGTTTGCCGAAGGACTTTGAAGAAGGGGAGGCACTTATCCGTTGTTCGAGAAATGAAGCGGTTGAAGGCGGCCACTCGGCCAGTAAGCCTCTGAACCTCCTTGACCGTTCTAGGTGACTGCATTTCGATTAAGACCCTGATCTTTTTGGGGTTAGCCTCGATGCCCCGCTGACTGACCATGAATCCCCAAAACTTCCCAGATCCTACGCCGAAGGCACATTTTTCCGGATTGAGCTTTTATCTGGTACTTTCGTAGGGTGGCGAAGGTTTCTCGCAGGTCGTCCAGATGATCGGTGGAGAGCTTGCTTTTGACCAGCATATCATCGACATATACTTCCATGTTCCGGCCTATCTGATGATGGAAGACGGTATTGACCAACCGTTGGTAAGTGGCCCCGGCATTCTTTAACCCAAATGGCATCACACGGTAATGGTAGGTGCCTCGGTCGGTGATGAAGGAGGTGTGCTCCTGGTCAGATGGGTGCATCAAGATTTGGTTGTATCCAGAGAAGGCATCCATGAAGCTGAGCATTTGATGACCGGTCGTGGCGCCGACCAGCAGATCTATGCGAGGAAGAGGGTAGCTGTCCTTGGGACAAGCTCGGTTGAGGTCGGAGTAGTCGACACAGAGTCGCCATTTACCATTATTTTTTCGAATTAGAACCATATTCGACAGCCATCTGGGGTAGTCCACATTAGTGATAAACTATGCCTCAAGGAGTTTGTCTACTTCAAAAGCAATAAGGTTATTGCGTTTCGGGTGAAAAATGTGCTGCTTCTGGCGGATAGGTCAGAAATGGGACTCAACATTGAGACGATGGCTGATGAAGGAGGGATCAATACCTGGCATATCGGAGTGAGTCCAGGCAAACACGTCGTTGTGTTCAACCAGGAAGGCGGTGAGGTCGGCCTTGGCTTGGGGGGATAGTTGGCTGCCGATCTTGGCGATTTTGGTCGGGTTGGTGGGGTCGACGAGGACCTTGACGAGCTCCTCCACTGGTTCCCCTTTGACCAGCTCGTCCTCATCTCTAACATCGAGTCCTTCAATGATCATAGCCTCCTTCAGCTTGACTTCTTTAAGTGAGGCGACATAACATTCTCTGGCCACGGTCTGCTCTCCCCTCAATGTTCTGACCCCAAGATCGGTGGGGAACTTGATGGCAAGGTAGTAAGTGGATGTGATAGCTTGGAAAGCATTTAGGGCAGTGCGGCCAAGGATGATGTTGTAGGCAGAGGGGCAGTTAACAACAAGGAAGGTGAGCAACTTTGTGGTCTGCCGCGGGTATTCGCCAATTGTGATAGGAAGATCAATGGAGTCGATGGAAGTCACCCGGTTGCTAGTGAAATCGACCAAAGGGGTTTGGAAGGGAGACAGACTTTCTTCCCCAATCTTGAGTTGGCGGAAGCAATTGAGGAAGATGATGTTTGAAGAACTGCCGTTGTCGACGAGAACCCGTCTGACCTTGTAATTGGAGAGGAGGGCGGAAATAACGAGAGGGTCATCATGAGGATAACAGATGCCTGTGCAGTCGGCGTCCGTAAAGGTGATAGGCTCGGTCCACTGCCTGGGGTGTTTGGAGGGTTGGTCCAACGTGACAACTTCTTTGTCTGAGCCGTGCCTTATTTTTCTGAGTTTTGCCCACTGAGCCGACCTGGATGGTCCTCCATAAGCAAGCCCGCCGGAGATAACTCTGATTTCTCCAACAAGTGGGGTGGTGTTACCTTGTGCCTGAGGTTACTGTGGAGGGCGATCATGACCTTGGTTAGGCTGTGCTGGCTGACGGTGAGGGGTGCGCTGGCAGTTATTTCTGATGGGTTCAGTCCGCTGCCTCTGCTGAGGGCGAGTATCCGTGAATTTGCTGAGGCGTCCTTGACGAATTAGGCCCTCGACCTGATCTTTGAGGTTAACACACTCCTCGGTATTATGGCCGTGGTCCTGGTGAAAATGGTAATATTTAGACTGGTCTTTCCGATTAGAAGGGGTCCGTGATAGTTGGGGCCATTTAGAGGGTAGTCCCGCTGGATCTAATGGAGGACTTGTTCCATGGGAGAGTTTAGGGGGGTGTACCGCTCGAACCGGCCGGGCAGTCGGGCTGGGGCCGACCGGTCGGTTCTGAGGGGTCGGTCAGTGTACTGAGATGTTTGGTTATTGTACTGGGTATTTCTGATTTTTGAATCTTTTCTCTTTTCTCTGGGGGTCGAGTTTTTGGTTATAGGATCTTGCCGGGCAGCTAGGGAATCTTTAGTATTCATGTATTTTTGGGCTTTAGAGAGTAGGGCTGCCATGGAGGTCGGGGGATTTTTAGAGAGGGAGAAAAAGAAGTCGGACGACTGCAGACCGGCCATGAAAGCCGTAAGGATGACCTTGTCATCGTTTTCCGCTACTTGCAGGGCTTCGGTGTTGAAGCGGGTAACAAAACTGCATAGCGACTCCCCCTCGGTCTGACAGATGTTGAGGAGTTGGGTTGTCGAACGCCGCTGACGCTGGGCTCCAATGAAATGGCTGAGGAAAGAGTCACTGAGGTGCTGGAAAGTGGAGACACAGTCTGCTGGCAGTTGACTAAACCAAAGTCGAGTTGACCCCTTGAGTGTCACTGGGAAAACCCTGCCATTTCATTGGAGCCCTGACGCTGGACTCCAATGAAATGGTTGAGGAAAGAGTCACTGAGGTGCTGGAAAGTGGAGACAGAGTCTGCTGGCAGTTGACTAAAGCAAAGTCGAGCTGACCCCTTGAGTGTCACGGGGAAAGCCCTGCACATGATTTCGTCAGGGAAAGCATGGAGGATCATGAGGATCCTGTAGGTCTCCAAGTGGTTGACTGGGTCCGTCGTACCATCAAAAGAGTCGATGGTGAGCATTTTAAACTTGGGGGGTAGAGGTTTGTCCCAGATGGAGGCAACGAATGGCGAGTTGGCTGTGGTAGAGGGTTTATGCTGGATGTTCTGCATGACCCCTTGGAGTTGGAGCTTCATGGCTCGGAGTTCTACGTCTCAAAGAGGAATGTTATCACTACCGGAGGGCAGCGGGGGTTGGACGCTACTGGCCTCTCTTTCAGGGGTTGGTGCCAGGACCGATGGGTGTGGGGGTCGGGGTGGTGGATTTATATTTGGGGGAGGAGGTTATAAGCCTTCCAAGTTGGGTGGATAAGGCTGCTGGATAATATAGCTCGGGGCTCGTTCTTGATTGGGTGGAATATCTAGAGGTGGTGGAGGGGGCATGGGAAGGTCTCTTTGGAGCAAGGCATTGATTAGATCCTGGTTCTGCTCGGTAAGGCGGTTAATGCTGTTGGTGAGCTCGGTAAAGTATTGTGGTGGGTTATTTGGATTAGGAGGGTCGACTTGGTGGTCAGGAACATTGGGATGGGAAGCCATGGATCTAGTCGTGACCATTCACCTTTGCAGGTGACTGGAAGGGGTTATTGGGAAAGGGCCTCCGGCGACAATGAGCACAACTGGCGCACAGAGTAAGAAAGTTTCACACAGACGGCGCCAACTGATGATATAGTTCGTTCCAATGAACGGGTCGGACTGATCCACGCTCCTCACGCCTATGTCCGAATGACCAAGTCCACCGGAAGACCTGCACATGAGTTCAACGGGGAACGAGGAGTCCCCCAGCGAATCCTCTGACGAGCAAGTTAGAAAGAGGAGTGGAGTATAGAGTGAGATTAGAGATAGAAAGCTTAACCTTCTTCTTGTCTTCAACGTTTGCTTATATCCTCTGGTAATCATTTCGTTGTCCCTTCCGACCTGTCACTTTGGCCGAAAGTCTATGCTGTAGCTTACCTTTTTCAGGGTGAGGGCGTGCTGTCCCGACGGAGAGAGATTATCGCAATAAATGCTGTAAGGGGCCTCATTAATGGCGATGCGGCGTAGCAATAACTTTAAAGATCTTTGTCTGCTGATGTGACTTGCCCTTCTCTTGCCATGTGTCTTGATGCCATTGGTTCTTATTGCTATGTGGGGCTTCAGCAGTGTTGGGCTTAATTAATTGGATTATGTATTAGGCCCTAAGTGGTGGGCTTGGGTTGTTCATAGTGGGCTGTAGCCTTTATGGGCCTACCCATGTCAGTTATTATGTAATTGATGGATATTAAGTTTTTAATATATAATCGATATGTTTAATATATGAAATATTTTTTAGTTTTGAATTTTTCGATTTAATGGATTGATTAAATAATGACATTAAAGTAGTTGCCATCTTTGACTTTTAAAAAAAATAAAAACTAATTTAATGAAAATAAATATCAAAAAAATAATTATTTAAACAAATTATTTCTACCTGCCCAAAAGATAAAATTATATAAAAATAATGTGTTTTTTAATTTATTTTCACCAATTTAAATTTTAGTTTCTTAGAAAAAATTTCTGAAAATAGATTCTAGAAGCCAAACTAAACAGAACATTATAACAAAAAAAATTTCAACATTATTAATTAAAAAGAGGTCATTACATTTCAAATAACATACAAGTTAAATAATACAAAATAAATTGTATGACGACTTTGCCCTTGAAATGGACTGTTTGTAAAAGAAACATATTTGATTGTCATTATTTTGGATAAGATTCAAAATTTAAGATCAAATGTATTATAATTAAAAAGTTAGGAACTAATGTGACATAAGTTCCCAAATTATAAGAAGTGTTAGTTTAATCCGCGCAATAAATTATTGTTACTGTTATTATTTTCCTGTGTAATTGAAGGCCTACAAAGTTAATTACATATATGAAACTGAAAGGTCGAATTTCATTTTTTTTTTTTATTTAAATGAAGGGTAGTCCATTGGTTCTTTTCTTTCCCTTTGTATTGATTTGTTTTGTTTTGTCTGGTCAGTTACATTACATTTTGGGTTTAGAAATTTTCAGAACGTATTTTTGAATTTTCGAAATTGGGTTGTGTGAATAAACCTTATGAATCTATGATATGCAGAAACGTAAAGTTTATTTGAGAGCAAGAGAAAGCAAGCATGCAGTTGCAGAGAAGAATAATACTGGCTGTCTTTGTTTGCTAAAGTGCTGCTGCTGCGCCGCTCGTGTGCTGCAAATTTTCTTGAAACCCACCAATCCCAAATCCCAAATCTCAATCTCGAGAGGATCAAACCAGTGTGCCACGTACAGCCCACTTATTAGTTATCTAAACCAGTTGTGGTTGTGGTTGTGGTTGTGGTTGTGGTTGTAGTTGGGGTTGTGAGTGTGACTTTCAGTTTTCCTTTTAATATCTGTTCACACTTTCTTTACCTTTCCTTGTTCCGCCATTCTCTCTCTTTACATTGTCAAACCCACAAATATTACTGGCTTGATACAGAGCACTCTTCGTAGAGTAGAGTTTATGGGTCTTGTCTTCCTCTTCTTCTTCTTCTTCTTTTTTTTTTAATTATTTATAATAATAAACATTACATTTAAAATTTAAATAAATAAATAAAGGGTTTGACCCTAGGAAGGACGGTGATACTGTTAGGATAGTCTGTTAGCTTAACATTGATCTCGAGGTACAATCTTTGAACCTTGAAGCTTCGGTCTCTGTTTTCTTCATTGGATTATTATTATTATTATTCAACCTTTCCATGTGTATTGGGATTCTTAATTGTTTCTGTTAGAATATGCCGACAATGGGTTTCGATTGATGGTCTTGTTGGGGTTGCTAGCTGGTACCTAGTATCTGGCCATGTCTCTGTATCACCAATATTTTAGTATTGTTTTAGTGTTTTTGGCATTGCATGATGTGGATTACTTCGAATCCAGCACTCTGTTTGGCATAGTTTAGTCAGTGAAACTCGGTCCGTGAATTCTGGCCTTTGGTTGGTATTTAAAGGTTTTGTGGGTGCTTCACTTTGATTAGGCAGAGCAGATAGGTGGAGAGGGGGGGTTTGATGTGGAATTTTGGTATTGAAACCTCTGCAAGACATGCTGAGCTTTGATGGAGTAGGAGAAGAGGTCTTCTTTGATTCTGCAGAGTACTTTTTGTTGTCATCTGAAGAGTCTGTTGTTGTGAAAGAAGATTTGTTGAATGGTAATTTAGGGTTCGAGGTTTGGTTGAAGGAGCCACAGAGTGTCAAGGAAAGACGAGATAGGTTTCTACGTAGAATAGGTTTTGTTGAATTAGCCCGCGCTAGTAAGGAGGAGGAGTCAGATGAGATGCTGGGATTGGAAAGGATTGTAGAATGCAGTGGAACTGTCTCTTGTTGTTATACACCTCAAGTCGAGGAAAATTTAGTCTGTTATGGTAGGGAATTGAGTTGTGAAGAAGCCAATTGTGGTTTCGACGAATTAGAGCAAGATCAGGTCTGCAACCTCAGTGTAGCTGTTGTGGGGGAGAGTTACCGGTCTCATGTCAAAGAATGCAAGATTTTTGATATGGATAAGAAAAATTTGAGGAATTGGTGGAAAAAATTCATCAAAAACAGGAGGATGCGAACTCGAGGCACGGAAGTATTGGAACCAATTTGTGAAACACCGAAGGTAAATCGAATGAAAGTGCACTCAAAAAAGAAGAAGTATATGGAGTTAAGTGCAGTGTATGTTGGACAAGAAATACAAGCACATGAAGGCTTCATTTGGAGTATGAAATTTAGTCCAGATGGCCAATATCTGGCAAGTGGTGGTGAGGATGGGGTTATTCGCATTTGGCGGGTTATGCAGGCAGATGCCTCTTGCAAAGAAAAAGAAAGTTTACATGCTCAAGCCAAGTTTGGTGGCCGCCGAGGGAAAGAAGGCAAAAAGCGGAGTCACCCTTCAGTTGTGGTTCCTGATAAGGTTTTTCAGATTGAGGAGTTGCCACTGCAAGAATTTCATGGCCACACTAGTGATGTCTTGGATCTGGCGTGGTCCAAATCTAATGTGAGTTATTGCTAGCTTGCAAAATACCTTTAAAATTTTCCCATTTGTTTAAAAAAGCATACTAATGTTTTGGGGGTTAATCTGTTGCAGTGTCTTCTTTCATCATCGAAGGATAAAACTGTTCGTCTTTGGCAAGTGGGCTGCAATGAATGTATTAGTGTTTTTCAACACAATGACTATGGTTAGTATTGTTAGCTATTTGTAATTCCTATATAAACTGTTGATTCAAATCATAATATGTATATGTATCTTGTTGAATCTATTGTCTTTTGAGTGTTATTAAAAATTAATATATTGTTCATGTTATCTTTATGGTATCAGTGACATGCATTCAGTTCAATCCCGTCAATGAAAATTACTTCATGAGTGGCTCTATAGACGGAAAAGTTCGAATTTGGGGAGTGACCGAGAGACAAGTTGTTGATTGGGCTGATGTAAGAGATGTAGTAACTGCTATATGTTACCACCCAGATGGCAAAGTATGGCTGCAAAACACTTGATTTCCATCTCATGAATTATTTTATACTACTTTTACTTTGTGCTTTGCTAATAATATATAGCAGCTTATGAAGTTCACTCTAATGATGGTTTCTTCTGTATCTTTTTTCTTTATCAATGCAGGGCTTCATAGTGGGCTCTGTCACCGGCACCTGCCGGTTTTATGGAGCATCAGGTACTACTTACTTTCCCTATAATGTTTCTTGGTAGTTAATTCTATCAATTTGTTTCTTTCTGCATATATTTTGTCTAATTTGTTTTGTTTTCTTGGTTGGTACAGATGGAAATCTCCAGCTAACTACAGTGATAAATTTCCGGGGTAGAAATAAATCCTCCAGCAACAAAATTACTGGCATTCAGGTTTAATCTCCACGGCCTTGCTGCTATTTAAACGAGATAATATTTTGCTCAAATTTATGTCACGCGTATATTATTAACATGCGTGCCGTGCCATGCAATGTCTGCCTTGCAGTTTAACCAGGAAGACTCTCAGAGAGTAATGATAACCTCAGAAGATTCCAAAGTTCGTATACTCGATGGGACTGATATTGTCCGTAAATACAGAGGTACAAGAATGATTTTCCTGTTAGTTCTTACTTCAGTCAATCTTAATCAAAGACTCTTCTACCATAAATTTTGTGTTCTGTCTATATCATGACATAATTTTTTTAGCTCATAACAATGTTATATTGAATTTTACCATATGCATGGCGTATAGTATCAAGGTTTATTATTATTGTGTTTTTTCTAAATCTTTTTATTTTTATTTTTTTTAATATAATTATTTTTCAAGTACATATGTCAATGTAAATAACTGCTTTATGCATGAAGCAGTAAACTTTTTCCTTGCAACACGGCCTTAATGCTTGCTCTAATGTTATAATTTGGAACTTAAATGATCTCCTTTTATTTATTTATTATTATTATCTTGATAAGTAATGATGACATTAATTAGATGATTTTGTTGCTATCTCTTTGTTGTGTCATAGGAACAAAAAAATATGTTAGAATTTTCTCTGATAATTTTCCTTGCTTCTTGGTTTTACTTCCTTGCTATCTTTGTTGTGTGTATATATATATATATATATATTTTTATGAAATGAGATATAGACGACAATATCCTCCCCAGTTTAGGTGCTTTTGGACATTTTAAAGTATATGCAGCCAACTTTTAAAAAATATTGTTGGTGAATTCAATTGCGGTGTTACCTCAAATTATATATGTTTACAATTACCAGAGTAGTCATACTAACCATGAGAAGGTCAAGGTGTACCCCCATTTACTAATCTAACACCTCAACCATGCATTGTATCTAAACTCTTATAGTAAAACTAATTAAATAATTCATGAAGACGTTGTGGATTGGTCTGCACAGCTAGCTGTATTCTTAAGTTGAAACCTCTGCAATTTACTTTAATGCATAGGTTAATCATCTTCTTGATTATCTATATATACTTGCTTTTCAAAATGTTCAAACAATAGACATGTACAACGTATTTTGACTAATATATATATATATATATGCCCAAAGTTGTCATCTTTCTACTAGTACAACGTAATAGTGTTGTGTTCCTAAACATATAAATATTAATTTTGTTACAGGTCTTGCAAAGTCAGGAAGTCAGTTGTCAGCTTCGTTTACTTCAACTGGAAGGCATATAGTATCAGTTGGGAAGGACTCTCGTGTTTATGTTTGGAACTATGACGATCCATGCATCTCATCATCCACACAATCAAATTCTGTACGTTCATGTGAGCATTTCTTCCTTGAAGGCGTCTCACTAGCAATTCCTTGGTCGAATAATAATACTTCTACTACTACACAATCAAGAGAAAAGGGTTGTTCGGATTGTTGCTTACAGATGTCACAAGATCAGCAGCACAAGCCTTCTTCTTCATCTTCTTCTTCTTCTTCTTCTTCTTCAGGGCGTTTTTCGCTCGGTAATTGGTTGTTCTCCATGGATGTCTCATGTAGTAGTAAGAGGTCCGTAACATGGCCAGAGGAGAATCTTCCTACGTGGGATGTACACACTGCGGAGCATCATCATCATGAAGCTGTATCGGCCACGTGGGGTCTTGTTATAGTTACTGCAGGTTGGGATGGAATGATTAGAACATTCCACAATTACGGATTGCCCGTCACCACTTAGGGCCTGTTTGATTCCACTATTAGAGCGTAGGATTAGATTGTTAATCCAATCATATACATATACTTGTGTTTGGATGGCATAAATGATGACCGGCTTAGTAATACATAGGACTTCTAACCCCACAAAATCATGACATATTCAATACCATATAAAGATAGGTATTAATAATCTCACACATACTTATACTACTAATGAAGGTAGACAGTCAATCCAATGGTTAATGCCATGGATTATTAATCCTGTCCCTATTATTCCAACCAATCAAACAAGCCTTTAGAGAACTTCAAATACATCACTAAAGAGTAAAACCCAAACACACATACATGTACACCACCTTGAGGAGCGACATATACTATGAATGATGATGTGTGGTGGTTGATTGTTTCACTTGTATATCCCATTAATCCCGTACATATTTCAACCTAATACAAGATCAAGTCGTTCGGCCTTTTTTTTTTTTTTTTTGGTATTGCTCTTTGTCCATATAGCAGCCTAGGTTTCATAGAAGCAGGTCATGCAAATTTGTTCAGCTCGTCTGTTTGGCTACTATTGAATAAATATGTATATATAGTAGAAATAGAAATGCGAGAGGTCTTTAAAGAAATTGCAATTTTCCATGTCTTCCATGTTTCTACCACTAATGCAGGCCTCCATATTTCCATCAGTGGATTCATTTTAAACTCAAGGGGGTGAGTGCATATGTAACAAAAAAATAATAAATAATAAAAATTCACAGTTGTCCAATTTAGTGTTGACAATTTTCATTGCTGAATATGTACATTTTGTAGTAGTTGAAATATGTATAGTTATAATAAGAGGAATTAATATATTGATTGAAGGATAAATTATGGACTCTCTTATTTCAATATACACTTGCCACAACTTAAATTTTTTTAACTACTTTTGAAATTAGAAAGAATTCTAAATGCAACATTTTTGGGTAATTTATACGTTGTCCCTTCATCTTTTGGCCATTTTCTTATTTTGACTATTAAAGTTTTGTTTTTTTGCCACTTTTGCCTTTTATATTTTAAAAATTTTCTAGTTTACTCCTAAACCTTACTAATGTTCAAAATTAAAGAGAAAATGCCATGATTACTGTCACATGACATAAAAAATATATTATTATATTAAAATTTATGTTTGTGTCAGATATGTGAGCTATATATAATAAAATATTTATGGATAAATTATGTATATAGTCTCTGTACTTTACACGATGTGTCAATTTGGTCCTTGTAGTATCAATATGCTCGATTTTGCTTTTTAATTTAACTGATTGAATCATTTTAGTCCAATAAATAATGTTTGTTAAGTTAATTTAACGGAAGGTCAAATAATGTGTCAATTTGGTCCTTATACTTTACACGGTGTATCAATTTGGTCCCTATAGTTTCAATTTTCTCGATTTTGACAGAAACTAAATTGACACATTAATTGACACATTGTTTAATTTTCCGTTAAATTAACTTAACAGCTGTTATTTATTTGATTAAAATGACGCAATCCATTAAACTAAGGGACAAAATTAAGCAGATTAAAACTATAGGGACCAAATTAATACATTATGTAAAGTACATGGACTATTTGCATACTTTGCCCAATATTTTTATGTCACATGATTGTCAATATATTATTTTCTATCTAATTTTTATCAAAAGTTAACTTTATAACTTTAGGAGTAAACTAGAAAAAAAAAACTTAAAACATGAAGCGCCAAAGTCAAAAAAAGAAAAGAAAAGAAAAGAAAAGACCAAAATAAAAAAGTGGCCAAACATGAAAAGGACAAACTATAATATATCTTTGTTTTTTTTTTTTTTTTTGTTTTGGGAAGTTATTGAGACAAAATTTATTTAGGCCAAGTTTGGCAACATCAAAATAATTTATTTTTTTATCTTTTTTTATCACATCATCTCTCTACTTTTTTACACATCTTTTTATAAAAAGACAAAAAATACACTTATTTAGGTCATCCCAAACAACCCCATACAATCATACAAATATCTTCAATTTTGAAAGCTGTATAACCAGAGGCGAAGCATTGGGACTTTTAGCTTATAATTAATAATGCTATCTTTCTTTTCTTTTTTTATTCAAAAATAAGGGGTGTTTGGGTCAGCTCACATTTCAACTAATCTTTTTTCTAGTCTCATCAAAGGCAGGTCACTCATGTTGGGATTAGGAAATTCACAAGAAATTTCATTCTTATAGCTTGGCTCTTGAGTTGAAATCTGAACAATTGCGTGGAGAGTATACCTACTAACCATCCAAGACAATCCTCATGGGTTAGTTTGTCCTTGTGACCTCTCTCATCTATTTTTTTATTAAAAATAATGCTAGAGACTCATACATTTATACATACAAATTTACCCACAATAATATGATATAAGAGTTGGACCCGCCATCATTAAATATGTAACAAATTAAAATTGACACATCGCGCTACATTATTATAAATAGAATATGAGTGCTTTTTTAGATCCTCAAACTTTTTCACTTATTAATTGTTTATTAGCTTTTGGATATATTAACGTCACCAAACCAAAAGCAACCAAACATGACTTGGTATTAATTTTCTCACTTCGTGTGGTAAAAATTTTGTGGTAAATATTTTTGAAGTAAAAGTTTAAAAACATTGCGGATAGTTTATAAACAGTTTGCTGAAGATGTTACGAATCATTTACGGTAAGAAATTTTATGAAATATTTTAATAAAAAAATTATAAATTATTTCGGTGTTTGTTACATGACATTATGATTATATTAAGTACATTATCATAGAGTATATATGGTATACATTTTTTAAAGATGTGTACTATAGCAACTCCCTTAGTTTTTAAATTATTATTATTATTATTATTATTATTATTATTTTTGGTAAATGAGAATCTGATATGAAATAAAAATAACAGTTTATTAATTTAAAGAAAATTTACTTATGAATCCAATTTTGAGGAATTATCCATTTAGTCCCAAGAATATTTTTATAGATCAATTAATCCCATTAATTTTAGACAAGTAGATTTAATATATTATTTAGAAATTAAATTATAGTTATACCCTTACATGTTGTTTGTTTGGAGGGATTGGAGGGTGAGATAGTATTAGAGGGTGGGAAATAATTTATATCCGTTGTTTGGTTTTCTAATTTTGCTCCGGACTATTATTAGTCCCAAATGTGTTGGAGTATTGTGTCCAGTTGTTTGGTTTTCCAATTTTGCTCCGGACTATTATTAGTCCCAAATGTGTTGGAGTATTGTGTCCAGTGCCGGCCTTGGGCATGGGCCAACAAGGCCATGGCCTAGGGCCTCTCAAAATAGACCCAAAAAAGGGGTCCCTTCTATTATGGTTTAGTGTAATATATTAGGTATGTTTTAAGTTAAAAAAAAATTAAAGAAGACCCAAACCAACTTAAAATAAATTGACCCATTAAAAAATTGAAAGGCCAATTCAAAAAAATTAACATTGTTATCCATTAAAAATAGACCCAAAAAAGGGTCCTCCTATTATAATTTGTTGTAATATATTAGGTATATTTTAAATCCAAAAAAAAATTAAGGAAGACCCAAACTAACTTAAAATAAATTGATCCATTAAAAAATTGAAAGACCCATTTAAAATAATTAGCATTATTATCCATTGAAAATGATTTTGTAAAAAAACTAGATTATGCAAGTATGATTGATTTATTTGTTCTAAAAATGCAAGAAGAGCAAGAATCAAGTGACACTTATTAATTATTGTAATGTAATACTAAGTATCTTTTGTGATTTTGACACAAATTTTTTGTCTTTTATCTTCATTTTTTTTTTCATTCAATGAAAAAAAATATGAAGGGCCTCAAAAATTTATTATTTGATTATTGAGTTTGGGTCCCGAAAATCTTAGGGCCGCGCCTGATTGTGTCCCATTGGGGGAATACAAAATGGTGGAATAGGAGGGATACGGGATTAAGTGATAAAAAAATCATTTTGATCCTCTACTATTTAATTATGTATTATATTTAGTAAAATTCAATAAAATTTAAATGTGTCAAATTAAAAACAAAAATTTTATTTAATTTTTATTGATATTTTATTTATTTAATTTTTTAAAATAATTTTTTTATAGATATTTTATTGATGTTTTATTTTTAAATTTCGTTTATATTTTATTATTTAAATTTTAATAGATGTTTTATTTAATTTCATTATTTAATTATTATTGTTTTTTAAAATAAATTTATTTAAAATTTTAATTAAAAAAATAACATATATTTTTATTGATATTTTATTTATTTAATTTTTTAAAAATAAATTTATTTAATTGTGTAAAAAATAAATTAAATAAATTTTTATTTAATCTAGCTAAAAATAATTAAAATATTAAAGATATATTTAATATTGCTATTACTTGATAAATAATTGAAAATGATAAAATAGTCATTTGAGCATTTATCTTTTTCCGTAATATCCTAAACAAACATAGGATTCATATCCTATCCAATTAAATAGTCATTTACTGACATCTAATCTCATGACTGGACAAATATAGGGTACATATCCTGTCTAACCAAATAGTCCTAGGACTATGAATTCCAAGATTACAATCTGATGGATTCCAATCCCCCCTTATCCAGTCCTTCCACACAAACACACCCTTATTATGTTTCCTTTTCTTCTTTTTCTTTTGTGCTAGAAATGTAATGTACACAATTGTAGATACCGCATTTTTGACCGTCCTCAAGACTTGGACGTCACCGCTTGAACACCCGGTGATCATCCTTGTTTGTGTTTGCCTTGATTTCCCGAAGACCTCGGCTACGCGCCTTGCCCCAAGATCTCTCGACTCGACTGTTTTGTGTTTGGTTTTGCACCAAACACTTGTGTTTTTCCTTGGAGGGGCAGGGAATGGCTTGTGAGCCATCCCCACACATCACCGGCCATGGCTTGAGGCCACCGGCTGTGTTTTGTTTCCACTGGCCAAATGTTTGGCCGACCGGCACTATATATGGTCGACCGGCCATCTATTTTGGCCAAATTGCATTTTTGACTGGCCGACCACTGTTCATCTGCTTTTGCAGATATTTTATGCTAGCTGGCATACACTTTTCTCCCCTTCATACACGTGTATGGAGGGATCTCCCTCTTGCTAGCTTGCCTTGGAAGCTTTACAAGATTGAATCCTCTATAAGAGGAGGCCTAGATTTTATATTAGTATGAGCCAAAGGATTGGGTCCGTAAAAATACTTGTGGACCTTTTTAGGTTCTAAAAATTAACAAAAACATAGAATAATAAGTTTACTTTCATTCCCAATTTCAAAATTTGCATAACCTAACCACAATTTTTATCTATCGGTGGTGATATATGCATCAATTAGTGTACACACTAATGTACCAATTAGTATTATGATATCATTAATAATCCTATTTATTATACAAATTATAAATACCCAAAACTTCTA